TGCTATGAGCAAGATCTATAAAATACTGGATCCTGGGAGAGATTGTTAATTTCTGGACTGCCTGGTTTCTGGGTGGTAAAAGGGGGCTGGAATGCTTAATGGGACTGTCTGTGACTCCAGGATAAAACTAATATAGTGATACAGGAGTACACTTTTGTTACCAGCTTGGTGAAATCTAATGATAGACTATACCACCACTTTGGACTATCTGTCCTATTTTCTGACAGTCGGTCCTGAGTTTGTCATTCTTAACTGTGAGTCACTCCAGGCATTGTGACATCTACATCTTCTGAACAATCTTGTTTGTCATCCATGAAGGTAAATGCTGTCTACATAAAATTTCAGGCACAGGGCAAGATCTTTCATGCTTCTCCACCCCCAGGAAAAGGGTGGCTCTGAAGGATCCAGTTTCTCCTCTGGCCTTCATAGTCTCATAGGTTCAGACATTCCTCAGACCATTTTCCCAGTGTTTGTTTGAGATTCCTTGCTAAATCAGCAGGCTGCACCTCAGGCTTAATCTGACACCTCACCTTCCTGAGGAGGTAACTGGGGAGGCAACAAAACAACAAGACTCAGGAAGTGCCAAAGCCTGGCACTTATACTCATGGATTTAGTCTTAGGGGCTGAGGCAAATAATTGTCTGGATAAAGTTACGGAAGTTTCCCAGGAAGGTCTTAGCCAGACTCCTTTGGAGGATAGAAAAAAGATTTTTTTAGAAGTATAAGCCTTCATGAAGCATTTATTACTCCACCTAATGACTGTGTGGGTAGGGACATAGACTGAAAGGGGCTGACAATCCTTACCTCATCTTCTGAAAAAAGAAAAGGAGTACTTGTGGCACCTTAGAGACTAACCAATTTATTTGAGCATGAGCTTTCGTGAGCTACAGCTCACTTCATCGGATGCATACCGTGGAAACTGCAGCAGACTTTATATACACACAGAGAATATGAAACAATACCTCCTCCCACCCCACTGTCCTGCTGGTAATAGCTTATCTAAAGTGATCATCAAGTTGGGCCATTTCCAGCACAAATCCAGGTTTTCTCACCCTCCACCCCTCCACACAAATTCACTCTCCTGCTGGTGATAGCCCATCCAAAGTGACAACTCTCTACACAATATGCATGATAATCAAGTTGGGCCATTTCCTGCACAAATCCAGGTTCTCTCACCCCCTCACCCCCCTCCCAAAAACCACACACACAAACTCACTATCCTGCTGGTAATAGCTCATCCAAAGTGACCACTCTCCTACAATGTGCATGATAATCAAGGTGGGCCATTTCCAGTACAAATCCAGGTTTTCTCACCCCCCCACCCCCATACACACACAAACTCACTCTCCTGCCGGTAATAGCTCATCCAAAACATCTGGGGGGGGGGGGGTAGGAAAAAACAAGGGGAAATAGGCTACCTTGCATAATGACTTAGCCACTCCCAGTCTCTATTTAAGCCTAAATTAATAGTATCCACTTTGCAAATGAATTCCAATTCAGCAGTTTCTCGCTGGAGTCTGGATTTGAAGTTTTTTTGTTTTAAGATAGCGACCTTCATGTCTGTGATTGCGTGACCAGAGAGATTGAAGTGTTCTCCGACTGGTTTATGAATGTTATAATTCTTGACATCTGATTTGTGTCCATTTATTCTTTTACGTAGAGACTGTCCAGTTTGACCAATGTAAATGGCAGAGGGGCATTGCTGGCACATGATGGCATATTGGTGACATCACATTGGTGGATGTGCAGGTGAACGAGCCTCTGATAGTGTGGCTGATGTTATTAGGCCCTGTGATGGTGTCCCCTGGTTTAACTTGGATTTAAACTTGGAGAGTGGTCAGTTTGGATGAGCTATTACCAGCAGGAGAGTGAGTTTGTGTGTGTATGGGGGTGGGGGGGTGAGAAAACCTGGATTTGTGCTGGAAATGGCCCACCTTGATTATCATGCATATTGTAGGGAGAGTGGTCACTTTGGATGAGCTATTACCAGCAGGATAGTGAGTTTGTGTGTGTGGTTTTTGGGAGGGGGGTGAGGGGGGTGAGAGAACCTGGATTTGTGCAGGAAATGGCCCAACTTGATTATCATGCACATTGTATAGAGAGTTGTCACTTTGGATGGGCTATCACCAGCAGGAGAGTGAATTTGTGTGGGGGGGTGGAGGGTGAGAAAACCTGGATTTGTGCTGGAAATGGCCCAACTTGATGATCACTTTAGATAAGCTATTACCAGCAGGACAGTGGGGTGGGAGGAGGTATTGTTTCATATTCTCTGTGTGTATATAAAGTCTGCTGCAGTTTCCACGGTATGCATCCGATGAAGTGAGCTGTAGCTCACGAAAGCTCATGCTCAAATAAATTGGTTAGTCTCTAAGGTGCCACAAGTACTCCTTTTCTTTTTGCGAATACAGACAAACAGGGCTGTTACTCTGAAACCTGTCATCTTCTGACTCATCTGTTCTTTCAGGGAGGGCCTCGTCTCTTGCAAGTGAGTTCTTTCTGTCTTTGTGTAAGCTAACAGGGATGGTTTGCCCTTTGGCAGGGACCTGCACAGCCTCAGTAAGGCCAGTAACTGTTCATTATTCCTATGTGCACTGGCAGCAGCTCCTGGCAAATCATTACTTCAGGAAGCAGAAAATGTGCTTTTTCTTCAGATTTAGAGTACAGCTGGTCAAAATTTTTATCATGACAAATTTTCATTTGGTTTGATTTTTGTAATGAAAAATTTAATAATAAATTAAATGCAATTTTTATTTCATTCAGAAAAGGAGGGAACTCTCCCTCCCTTCAAAAAGACATGCAATTTTTCCGTTTGAAGCAAACCGAATATTTTCATTTAGTTCATTTTGAATGTTTTTCTTAAAAAATAAAAAAAAATAAAAAAATTCTAATGGAAATGAAAAGTTTCCATTTCTTTCTAATTTTTTCATGAAAAAACAACAACATCTTTTCCAACCAGCCCTACTTCTCCAAGTGTGCTGACAAGGAACCCAGGAGCTACAAGGAAGCCTGAGAAGTCTCTTCAAGGTGGTGGCCAGGTGTCGCCATAGTGGTTGCCTTGCTTCTTTCTTGCACAGAGGCAGCACTTAACTGCAGAAGAGTGCATCACATTGACAATGTGATAATCCTGTAACTCAACTGTTCTCATCCTTGTCAGGTGCTGGTTTCAGGTAGTCAGGCATTGTGGATGGAGCAGAGGTTCAGGATTGGGATAAGGGCAGTGCTGGCACCTGGGTTCAGGCATAGGTTGGGGTCAAAACTGAAATCAGAGTCCATAGACAAAGTCAAATGAGTATTGTAGCTGAAGTCCAGCTACATGCCAAAAGTCAAATGGGATAGATAATAAGACAGAAAATATCATATTGCCTCTATGTAAATCCATGGTACACCCACACCTTGAATACTGCCTGGTAGCCCCATCTAAAAAAGATACATTGGAATTGGAAAAGGTTCAGAAAAGAGCAACAAAAATGATTAGGGGTATAGAACAGCTTCCGTATGAGGAGAGATTAATAAGACTGGGACTTTTCAGCTTGGAAAAGAGGCGACTATGGGGGGATATGATAGAGGTCTATAAAATCATGAGTGGTATAGAGAAAGTAAATAAGGAAGTGTTATTTACTCCTTCTCATAATATAAGAACAAGGGGCCACCAAATGAAATTAATAGGTAGCAGGTTTAAAACAAACACAAGAAAGTATTTTTCATGCAACTCACTGCCAACCCTTGGAACTCCTTGCCAGAGGGTGTTGTGAAGGCCAATAATATAACGGGGTTCAAAAGGGAGCTAGATAGATTCATGGAAGATAGGTCCATCAATGGCTATTATCCAGGACAGGCAGGAATGGTGTCCCTAACCTCTGTTCGCCAGAAGCTGGGATTGGGTGATGGGGCATGGATCACCTGATGATAATCTGTCTGTTCATTCCCTTTGGGGCACCTGCCATTGGCCACTGTCAGAGGACAGGATACTGGGCTTAATGGACCTTTGGTCTGACTCAGTATGACCGTTCTTATGTTCTTATGTTCAAATATGGATGGTCAGAGTCCAAGGGTCTGGGGGTGAGGAGGCAGATGCAGGCTGGAGCGGATGTATAACAGATCTGGAGCAAGATCAGAACAGGGCATGGACAAGGCTGGAATGGGGCCTAGGCAAGGCTGGGGCAGGAACAGGAACCATCCTCAGAGCAGGTTGGAAGTCTAGAGAATCTGTTATACTGCAAGGCACCGAGAGGTTTCCTGACCAGGTAGTGCCATTACACAGACTAATTTACAGCTCTGGTGGGGTTAGGAAAATACCTGAGCCTGGGGGTCAGTTGACATGGGCTCTGCTCAAGGATTGGCTGCTGTCTGGCCACTAATCCCACAAGTACAACTATTATAAAACATGCATAACAGCCACAGAGGGTCTTACAGTAGCCATATCATCAGTCAATAGCCTGTTGAATAGACCCTGCCCCCTACCTACTATAATGTCTTTTTTGCCAGCATTTGCCATACAGCTGAAAGGATGGATAATTTAGCCCCTGTTACTCAGATATATGCATACCATGTTTGTTTATAGTATATGTTTGCACAATAAATTTGTCTTACATTACATTCCAAATATTCCAGATAGATAGGAAAATTTTGAAATTTACTGCATAAGAGTTTTTTAAGGAAGTGAATATGTTAAAAGTGAGTATGTTGCTTATTGTACTTGATTGTACAATGGGGGTACTGTGAAAGCTAAAGTTTTGCCTTCAAAAGAACTCTAGAAACAAATAGCAATGTCTCAATCTTCCTTAAATATAGTTTTTTTAGTGCCTATGCCCAATTCAGCAGAAAATATATTCTGCACATGCAACATGGAAGACTTTACCAAACCCAAAAATAAATTTCTAGAGCATTAAATTGCATGGAAAACAGACATATTTTGCTGAATCTGGCTGTAACTCTGTCAAGCCTAAACAATACTTAGTTTTATTTTCTGATGACATAAACAAAGATTTTTAATCACTTCACCTGTTCATTCACTCTGGAGTGTGATGGCCCATGATGGATGAGAATCTTCACAATATCTACATCTCCTTTCCAAGCAGCCAAGTGTATAGGAAAATAACCTTTGTTATCTGCCACATTAGTTGATGCTTCATACTGAAGTAATTTGAGAACTATATCCCTGGAAAACAGGGGGGAAGGAGGAAAAAAAGCTAAAAATTGAGAGGACAGCTTGTTTTATGAAGTTTGTACACATTGTCAAATTGTTTATTCTTAATAACAGATAAGCCAAATCCCACAGTCATTCATGCAAACCTACTGAAATTAATTTGCCTAAGAACTGAATAGAGACCACAAAACATAGCCCAAAATGGTATATGTGACTGAATTTCATGTTTGTTCTTTATTTTATTGACTGAATAAAGAAATTACGTACTGACAGTAATGCTGGTTCTTTTAACGCATTGCCTCCACAGAGACACATTGTAAGACACATGAGCCTATCCACATAGTCACAGAACCTTTTTAAACAGTAGCTGGCAGTAAGAGAGCACATGCATGTCCCTTCAGACTTACATTCCACAGAATGAAGCTATAAGAATCCCACTCCCTAGTTCCTCTTCCCCTTCAGAAGTATTGCTATGAGTTGAGCTCTGAAGCACAGCGGAAGAAGGAGGGTCAGTGTGGAAAGCAGTTTATATAGAGTACAAGCGTTATGGTTGGTAAGTAACCCCTTTTTCTTCTTCATGACATTGCCTCCACAGAGTCTCATAGCAAGAGATCATCTAACGATACCACACTTAGGTGTTTACTAATCTCAATGCAAATCCTGTTTTCATTTTTGGCTTCTTACTCTCCATCTCCCAAGATCAATGAGGAACAAAACAACTTTATTATTTTTTCACCTATATCTGGTTCCTCTTAAAAGAACAGGAGTACTTGTGGCACCTTAGAGACTAACAAATTTATTAGAGCACAAGCTTTTGCTCTAATAAATTTGCTAGTCTCTAAGGTGCCACAAGTACTCCCGTTCTTTTTGCGGATACAGACTAACACGGCTGCTACTCTGGTTCCTGGTAGCATTTTTAAATTAAAAAGAAAAGGAGTACTTGTGGCACATTTGTGGCTACAGACTAACATGGATGCTACTCTGAAACCCATTTTTAAATTGTAATTTGTAGGGATTTACCATACTTTATAATAAGAGATTAAATAGAAGGGGCTATATTAAGCCACTGATTTTTAAACAAAATTCCATATTGATTTCAACAGGGAGTTCTGCTTAAAAAATGATAGTAAGGTATGAGCTACAGTTAGCAAGTATGCTAAAAAATAAATCAGTTGTGTCCTACCTGTAAATTTGTCTTCTCATGGAATGATCTTCTTACAGCCCTGAATAATTAATAAGTTAACTAAACCCATCAGCTAGTAGAGGCAGTTCTTGGCAAGCAAACAGTGGCTCTTTAAGCACTGGCAGGTACCAAAAACCTTAGGAGTACTTTCAAAGCAGACTGCAAAAAACATTATTTAATACCTTAAGAACTTAGGCCTTGACTAAAAATACAGGCAAATGTAAACCCTGAGGAAATAGCTGTGGTCCCTAAATCTGTCCCAAACACTGCAATAAGAACAATGGCATACTGTCAGAGAGACTGGACGAAGGAGGGAGAAAGCCTACCAGTGACTGAGACGCACTCATATCTTGCCACTGAAAGAGCACTGCTGCCTTCAGAAGAAGACATGACAAATCTGGCACAAGGAGGCCAAATAAAGGCTGTGCAGTTCAATGGACCATTGCACTTGGGACTTGAGTGACATCTTATGCTGGGCTTTACCTACCACTGACTAGGTCAAACTGTGAAAAAAGGCCACAGGCAGCAAGGTTAGCCTCACTACTTCTTTGCTCCAAAAGGGGTGGACCCAAGAAATAAGTTCAACTACTTCCTGGTGGAAGCAAGTGACTGACAGGTTTGACATGATGTGGGCTCTTCGGCAGCCAACACTTTTACATTCAACAAAAATGTGCCTTGAACTGCCTCAAGTGGCTGATGGGCATAGTTAACTTAGGAGTTTGCTTCAGGATGAGAGCCATTTGATTGAGAAAATATAATATGTTGTTTAAAGGGTAGCATACTGTACTAGTAAAAAGTTAAAAAACACAGAAGATAATGAATGGAGTACTGCAGCAATTGGGATTAGATCCAATATTTATTCTATAAACAAAATATTTTGATCAAAATACAACTAAGATGGAGTAGTAAATAAATACATATTTTATACTTTTGTTTTCTCCAAATCAGATGAATCAGCAAATGATGTAGAACAATGAAATCAAAATTCAGGGAAAGCTAGAGTGTTTATGAGCATGGTAGCTCAGAAGTTGCAGTTTGGGCAGATACAAATTAATGAAGTCTAGGGGGGTTAAAGTTGCCTAAAGAGTATACTTTTAACTGAACACTAAGCAATAAAAAGACCTGGGAGTGAGAACAAACATAACCAAGAACAAATAGAATATAAGGACATACAATAGAAATATTGGATGGCCATAAATGACATCTTAAAGGAACATATTATAACATATTAGACTACTAGTAGGCTGCAGTACACATGATGAACACTGGCAGTAAAAAAAGATCATTGGTGAGATATAAAAGGTACAGAATAGAACAATGATAGAAGTGATAGAATCAGCTGGTAAAAAAGTATAATTAGAATAGTTCTGAATTTGATTTTAAGGCGTTTTTCTTTCTAGGTACCCCACAGCACTTCACAAAGCACTGAGTTTACTACGGAGAGGGCAGTGATTATGAGGTCAAACATAGCACATTATTCATTCGGTGGTAAATAACCTCTATGTCCTGGCCAACATTTCTTCTTTTACTAAAATAGTCTTTGATGTTCAAGGTTGTTTGTTATCTTCTACTCTTTCAAAGAGTGCCAAGGTAACCTTAACTTACTACAGACATCTATCAAAAATGTAAAGAATGGATGTCTTTTTAACAGCTCATTTGAAGAGTATGTACTGTGATGCCATGAAACTGATAGGATAAAAGCTGTTTTGATAGGACACAAGAATCAGAGGTCATGGACTAAAGCTAAAAAATAGCTTTAAAGGAGTTTAAGAGAAATGTTCTATATAAATGTGAATAACCACATTAAAGCAATGTTAAAGGTTCATATTTAAAATCACAAACAATCAGAAAATGTCAAAATTATGACTCCAGTAACAATGTTGATTGGGCTCCACTGTGCATCCTGTATATTTTATAGTAAATAGTAATATATTTATTATAACATACAAGCTTAACGAGAAAATGGCAGGAACAGACAACGCAATATATCTGCAATACAGCCAATTAATGTTGCTATAGAAAATGCTATTTTTTAATTTTCTGACTATTTGTGATTTTAATTTGCAACCCTAACATTTTAATGTACCTTTTGTCATTTCATTTCTTTTGCTATTTAAAATTAAAAGGGAAAAAAGACATCATCTGTGGTTAATTTTACTGTAAATTGTTTTCATTTACATGTGAATTTCACAAACAAATTTATTGAGGTGAATGGGAAGGGGGCAGAGTTAATTTCCACACTTGCAGGTGGTTGTTTTTTGTTTGGCTGGAGAGTGTTTTTAACAGGTTTACATTTTGACAGCTCTTTTGTTACAACACAGAGAGATATTTCCTTTTTTAAAAAGAATAGTAAAAGCTGGATATTTGGTAAATACTATTGAATGTAACAAATATGCAAATACCCAATCACAGGATCTTCAGAAAAATTGCACTCTTGTTTTGTTTTCTGTCCCCGATGATAAGACAGACATTGTTTTTGAATAATTTTAAAACCTGTGTTTACCAGTGTGATATTTACAAATTCCCTCATATACATTTTCCCAGCAGATGCACCTGCTTTGCTCATCCCTTTACTCAAGGAAGCAGCTGTCCTCTTGCCTGTCAAAATGGGCAGGATAAATGTGCACTGTGATCTCTCAGAGTGGTGATGGGGAGACTGAGGCTTCATTAGGTGTTCCTAACTCTTACCAAATTATAATAAGCATGCTTAGAATTGATTTTTAAGTCAGTCAGAGTTGAGGATGCTCTGCAACCGTCAGGAGGTACTTATACCCCATAGGATTGTGCCTTATGTCCATACCAACTTTCAAGTTTCAAATTCTAGCCATTTTTGTTGTAATCCTATTTTTAAAAAATCCTATCTAAACCTGCCTTTGACTTCAATGGAAGCAGAATTAGGCTAACAATGAGTGTGTTTGAAAGTAATATCCTAATCTCTTAAAGAAAAAATAGTGTAAGATATGAAAACATTAACTAAATAGATAATGTAAACAGACCTAAAGAGGCATCATATCCTCCTTATGTTCGAGAATGCTAATATGTTATTATGATTAGCCTGAAGTCTATGGCTGGTTCTGGATATCATAGAAACATTTATGCTTCTGCTCAGATTTTCACTTTTTAAAGTAGCAAAGCGGTGGTTTGTGTTCAATACTCCCATATTTTCTGAAATATTCACAGCTAAACTAAAAAAACTGGGCAGTTTTTGCAAGCTAAGCCTTAGTCTTCTGACAACTGGGAATACACAGCTGCACAAGGAATAAATCATAAGAAAAGGCCCATGATGTTTCTGTTTTTTCAAAAAGACAGAGTTTAGTGGACTACATTAATTACTTTGGGCTAATTCCAGGGAGATAAATGACAGTAATTGACTATTCTGGATCTAGCTCCAGGAGTGAAGCTTGGAGGATTCAAAATGCTGACCTTAGCATTATTTTCTCTTGTGTCTGTAAATTTATAAATAAAATTAGCACTTATGGGCTGTAAGATGAATATAGTCTACAGTAATATTAGAGAAATGGCAGGTTTGTGTAACACAATTAATCACACATAATAAATACCCTGTCTTTTCTATCTTAATTCACCTTTCTGCAGCCAAGAGTGTAACTATTTGTGAATAAAACAGATTTAGGAACACAATTATTCTGGGTCTATGTTGTTTTATTTAGGTCTGATCCAAAGCCCACTGAAGTCAGTGCAAGTCTTTCCATTAATTTCAATAGGCTTTGAATCAGGTCCTTATCTCCAGTCTTGATGTCCAACTCTTCTTCAAACCATGAAAAGACATGACAGTATTAATAGCCCCAATTTAAAAATGGGGTAATCAAGG